GAAGGGAGCGAGATGACAACTTTCCTGATGGACAACTTCTCCCTTGTGTTTGGACACATCTTGTCCAACAGTTCCTACCCAATGCTGCAACGAGCCATTGGGGTGGGCAGTGCCTTTGAAGGTTGGAGTCCCCGGGAGGAGGATGTCGTGTACAGTGTCCTTGTCCCCCTCACTCCTCCCCCAGGGCACATCTTTCATCTGGAGATGGACACTTCAGGCCAGTTGCCTGGGAGGAACTTCTACATCCGTGTGGAGCCGGTGTGCACCTGCAGGAGGGAGCAACAGGATGAGAACGTCCTGTGCTTCCTCCACCACCCAGAGGAAGAGCAGAGGAGGAACGAGGAGCCCAACTTCCTAAACATCCTCTGCTCTGACTCCTACCTCGATGTGGAGAAAACTGCCCGCTGGTTCTACCAGCTGGTGAGAGCAGCCTGGCTGGCTTTGCCTCACTACCACACTTGGCACTTAGTGCTGCTGCCCTCCAGCCGCTCCTGTAAATTCAAGGTGAGCAGAGGCCGAGAGAACCTGATGGTTGAGGTGCTGTTTGGGGTGCAAGAAGGCAATTCAGACATCTATGTGAGCAGCCAGCCCACAGAGGCCCTCTTCACCCCAAGCACAATGTGGCCGGAGACCTACGCCGTGGCAGAGATGAAGTTCTTCAGGCACATTGCCCGGCAGGCTCCACGGGACAGCTGGCACCTCAGATGCCTGCAGCTCTTGGCCCGTGCTGTGGTGGGCATTGGCTTCTCCACCTACACCCTGAAGACCATTGTGATGCACCTCCTGAACATCATCCCCGTCTCAGGCTGGCGCATGACGCGTTTCCTGCAGCGGCTGGAGGATTCCATGCAGTACCTGCACGGCTCCCTGCAGGAGAAACGCCTGGACCACTTCGTTGTGGGCAACCGGACCTTGCCTGAGGAGATTATCTTGCCCCCGGATGTCAAAACCGCCCAGCCACTCAACCTCTTCCATCGCCTGGCACAGGATCCCGCCGCCCACTCACAGGCTATGGACGAGTGCCTTGAACTGGGACATCGCATCTCAACAATGCTACAAGACGGCCGCTGAAAGAAGACTCCCTGCGCTCAGCTGTGCTTTGGGGGTCAGAGCTGACAAGCATTGCTAATATTCCTCCTGTTGTTCACGGTGGCTTGGGTGGAGAATCACCTCATCCCAGACCCTATCCCTTATTGATCCCTGAAGGGCCATCCGTAGGTCAGCGTTGTGCACACCCTGTTGGACCTGACCTGACATTTTTTAGCTAAAAAAAGTTTTTCTTTAGTATATATAGAATTCATAGGACATGTAAATATTTAGTATAGCACATATATGTATCATTTATTTCCTATAATATTATCTTTCTATATCAATATAGCCCATAGAAATTTCTCCCAGTGTCTCCTCTTGTCCCCTTAAGGGACACTTCAGGTCAGCATTACACCAAGTATGGCCTCCCCAGACTCTGTTGGAGCTGACCTTAATTTTTTATTCTATAAATATATAAGGTTTACTTTAATTCATATTTACAATATAGTTCATAGGTCATTTCTTTCATATTCTACTATTATCATTAAATAAATATAGCCCTAATAGGTTTCCCACTATTTCCTTCAACACATATTAGCACTCTGTATTCATGGCATTTATGACTGCCAATCCAGAAACTGCTTTCCCCTTGTTTTAATAAAGAGTACTATTCTGGAACCTGGATCGTGCAAGTTTGTATGGAACTCAACCAGGCCTAGAGTCTTGGGAAATCACACTAGCTGTGAGTCTGTGCTTGTGAACACTGACATTGAGCTAAACCATACTGAGAGTGTTGAATTTGTTCTCCTCCCAAATTAGGCCTTTTGCCACCTGGCCCCTCTCCTCATGAGATCTCAGAATGACTCGTGCTGGAAGGGACCTCAAAATTCATGTGGTTCCAAACCCCTCTGCCATGGGCAGGGACACCTATCAACAGATGTGGTTTCTCCAAGCCCCATCCCACCAGGCCTTCAACACTCCCAGACCTGTTCTCTGCTCTTCTCATTCCCTCTGATCTCTTGGGCCTTTGGCACCAGGCGTCTTCAGAGAGCAGAGCGACCCTTTCTCAGCAGAGCTCTGTTCAGGGGAGAGACGCAGCCACCAATGGCCTCTAGCTGGAGCCAGAGATTTATGTATTCCACTCTGCTCCTGCAGAGGCACAACAAGGGAAGGGCAGGAGACCTGCTTGCCCTCTGCAGAATGTCCACCTTCCCTTGTCTCTAGTTGGGTCCTCGTTTTCTTAAAGCA